GTCATACCCAGTAGATGTGAGGACCGAATGCAATACTGTACATCAAGCACACAGAACAATGCCCAGCCCTTATTAAGCACTCTTTAAGTGGTAGCAATTATGATTAATATTTCATAAGCATTACTAACAACATTAATAAGAGTAGCAACATTATTATTAGTGTGGGCCAAAGTGTTCCAGCCTCACTGCCTCTTAGGACCGAGGTCTGGGTCTCTCCAGCTACAGCCCTGGCCCAACCCTTCCCAATTTGTGCAGGCAGCAGAACCTACCCCCATCTCTTTTGTGCTCCACCAGATTTAACACCCCAGATAGGTCCTTCTGGCCATGCTCTGAAGCCAGCAGAATGGGGCAGGGCTGGAAGGGATCTGTGAGAACAGTCCCTATGAGGCTGGGGGAAGCTATGGGCTCAGATTAGGTCAAGAAAGACAGAGATTCCCTCTTCTGGCCACTAAGCCTTCTCTGGAAGGGGACTGGGATATACTCACTAGGATGCCCAGTACCAGGCTGGGTTGGCCTGGACATAGTCTTTGACAGGGTCACTGCAGAGAAGAGAGAGGGGGAGAGAGAGTCAGAATGTACCCTAGGTCTCCATTTCTGGTTCAACATCTGCATCTGTCCCACACAGTTCACAGGACTTGAGAGGAAGCCGAAGGAATGCAGCCCCTGGAGGCTCGGGGAGTCCCAGCCCACAGTCCCTAGCTGGGACCTGCAAGTGCCTGCACATGCAGTTAGTGGTTCGGATCAGAAGGACTGCCACACAGACACCCAGAAGGCACCCCGGGTCCACCCCACGCTGGACAGACGACCCCTCGCCTGGTGCACTCTCTAAGGCTCTGTCCCAGCAGGAGGAGGCCCACTGCCCCACAGGCATCTCTCCAGGCAGCATTCCAGCAGGAGTCTGATCATGGGTTCCCCAGCTCCAGGCCTGGCCATAGCCACCCCTGGAAGGTGCTGGTCCATGCTGCCAACTCACCAGAAAGTAAAGAGAGCCACGACAGCCAAGGTCACCAGTAGCTGAATCAGCAGGATGGTGTAGACCTGGGGGTGGGAGGAGGTTCTACTCAGCTTGGGGAGCCCTGTTAGGGACCTGTCAGCCCCTCAGCGACTCGTTCACCTCTCCAGGTCCCCATCCTGTGCTCTCCACCCTCCTTCTTGGGGGTCATTGGAGTGAACCCAGGACAAGGTGAAAGGAAAGCAAAGATGCTGCAGAGCCAAGCACACCCCCTAGCATTGGGAGAAAAGAGGGGACAGTGTGTTTAGGTGTAGCAGGGGGCACTGGAGTGACACCTAAGGAAGCAATTCCTAGTGGGTGCTGTCAGCTGGGATCACAAGAGAAGCGGGTAGGGATGGCTTCTGCAGGCAGAGGGTTGGGCCAGGGGCCTCTACAGGGGCTCCCCCACTGAGCTTCCCAGTCCCAGAGGGCTAGAGAGGGGCATTACCTTTCTGATGAAGACTCGACGAACTTTCTGGTCGTCCCAGCTGAAAGTGGTGAAGAGCTCATGGTCTCCGGTGGGGAAACCGCTGTCATAGCTGGAGCTGCTGCCTGTGTGGCATGTGGAGGAGGAGGACATGAGGGTTCCCCCTACATGGAATTACTGTCCCCAACAGCCCCCATCTCAAAGCTGCCTCTTTGTCAGCCTGGCTCTCTGGACCCTGAAGTCTTCCTCTGCATCCCCATTATCAAACACCCAGCCTTGGCCCAGCCCAGCCCCACCCCAACCCCCAGATCTCTCTCCCTGGTCAATTCTCCCTTTTCCTGCTTTGAGTCCTGGGAAGAAACTGTCATCCCCTACTTCTCCCTCCACCCCGGCTGGGGCTCCCCAGGGACCAAGCTATGCCATACGAATGTGAACCTCCCATCTTCTTCACCCCACCCTCCTCCTTGGACATTCTGGCTCCCTTGCAGTCAAGGATCACTGAGGGCCAGCCACTCTCTCTGGGCCACCCAGCAGCAAAGATCCTGACCCTGGCTCATTCTTTTTGTTTCTGTTTTGTTTTGTTTTGTTTTTTTGAGATTGGGTCTCACTCCTGTCACTCAGGCTAGAGTGCAGTGGCATGAAACGGCTTACTGCAGCCTAGACTTCCCCTGGCTCAGGCAATCCTCCCACCTCAGCCTCCCGAGTAGCTGGGACTACAGGTGCACACCACCATGCTTGGCTAATTTTTCGTATTTTTAGTAGGGATGGGGTTTCACTATGTTGCCCAGGCTGGTCTCGAACTCCTGGGCTCAAGCAATCCACCTGCCTCGGCCTCCAAAAGTGCTGGGATTACAGGTATGAGCCACCGTGCCCAGCTCTGACTCTGGCTTGTGCTGAGGCCCTTGGGCTGGGAGCTGGGGACTGGTTGGCTGTGGTGGACTGCTGGTGCTCCAGCTGGAAATCAGGGCTTCAGCGGGGTGAGGGGATGGAGGGGAAATAAAGCCAGGACACGGGCAAGAAGTGGGAGTGAGGATGACCATTCCAGGCCTAGTCCCAGAACTGAGGCTTTCGGAAGAGCATGGACTCCACAGTCAAACAGACCCAGGGGTGGATCCCTCGCCTAGAACGTACTAGATGTGTGACCCTGATAAAGTTACTGGCCTTCCTGAGCCTCTTCTGATACTGGTTAGTGATACTCACCTCCTGGGGACCAAATGAGATAAACATGAAAACCTCCAGGTCTGTGAAATGAAAGCCTTTGCTCTCTGGTGGGAACTACACTGCCCCCCTCCTTGTGTCCCTCATCATGGCCATTTCCAAGTCCTCCAATGTGTTCATTCTGTCCCTCCACTGTCACCACTAGGTGTCCATGATCTCCTTTGCCCCCAGCAGTAGCCTCCGACTTGGTCTTTCAAAGTTGACCACGGCATTGCCCTGCTTTGAGCTCTTCAATGGCTCCCCACTGCCCTTCACTCAAGTTCAAGTTTCTTAAGAAAGCCTCCACGGCCTCCCTGAGCAGCGCCCTCCAGCTCCACTACACATTCCTCCCCCCGACCCTGTTCTCAACCTGAGTATATATTTTCCACCACGTATTCTCTTGCCTGTGGGCCCCTGCACATTCTATTCTTTCAGCCTTAAACACTCATTTTCTTGCCTTTTCACCAGGCTAACTCATGCCTATCGTTTGGGACTCAGTGTGGATACCCCTCCTTCCAGGAAGCCTTCCCTGACTGTCAGGTGGGTTAGGTAAGGTGCCCAGGCACCTGTCACTGTGTTTGTGTCACTGTGTGGTAGTTGTCCAATCACTTGTCTATACAGTCAGCTCTCCGAGGACAGAGATCCCAGCAGGTCTTGCAAATCAGTGCATCCTCCGAAACAAACCCAGACACAGACCCTGTGCCCTGGCACACACTTAGTAAATGTCTGTCACAGCTGCCTTCCTGCCTCGACAGTTCCTTAGAAAACATACCTTAAAGCAGCAGTCCTAGCAGCCAGGATATGGGAAATGAGGAAGGGGGAGAGAGGTAGACCCACTGCAAACCTAAGGACTGGAGACCCTTGCCCTCTTGACCTTCACTTCTCCCTCGTGTCCTGTCTACATCCTCTGCCAAAGCCCATGTGGCCAGGCCACAGAGAGAAGGGAAAAAGAGAGGGAAAGTGGGCCAGCGGGTGTGTAGAGAGGGGAGGAGGACGCCCACAAACACCAGACCTTCATTGACCCTCCAGTAGGTCACGGTGGGGTGAGTCTTCAGGGGTCTGCGCCCAGGGGATTTGTAGTGGGAGGTGTAGACCATGGTGGCTACTCCCTGTGAGCAGAGGCTCTGTCTGGGGCATTGTCTCTGGGATCTCTTCTAGAATCCTGCTGGGGGTGGGGTGATAAAGTGGGGGAGGGGAAGGGGCTGCTGAGGGCAGCCGAAGGGGCTGAGGAGGATTTCCTCAGAGCTTTTGGGAAGCTGTACGTTCCTGGCCCCAAGGTAAAGCTCCCACAGGCTGCTCGACCCAACAGAGCAGCTCCTACCCACTGAGATTCTCGGTCTGCAGGAATCTGGCATCCACCTGGGGGAGTGTGCCTGGCTGTGGGGGACACTGACGCTGGCAACCACACTCCCTCGCCGTGTCATGCCCCCCTGCCCCAGCACGGGCCTGGGGAAGGGAACACAGATGAGGAGAGTGATTGGTGAGGTGGATTCCCAGACCCCTATCCCCCAACAGCCCTGGGCCTCCATGGGGACCTGTCCCCACTGAGCCAGGCCCAGTGAAGGCTATGGCCAGTGGCAGTTTCATACGCCCCCTCCTTCTCTGTATCTCTTTCTTCTAGGAGGTCTTTCTTCACTAGCCCTTAGCTTTTCTCCCTCATCTGTCCCCTCCATTTACTCTAGCATGGTGACTTGAAAAAAAAAAACCGCCCTCTTCCCTATTGAGAGCACCCTGATGCAGACATTGTGTCTCTTTCCGTTTTCATGGAGTTGTCTCTGACCTACCCTCAGAACAGTTCTCCAAATCCTAAGCATCTAACAAGATAGCTTCATACAACCACACAGTGTACCTCTTTCTGGACAACTTCCTCCTACTCAGGTTTTCCCTCCGGGTCGACCCCCACCCCATGATGCTCCATCTTCCAGGAGCTGAAAGACTTACTGGGGTCCACATAAGCCCAGCTTGGGTGGAGAGGCACCGCCGGGGGGGCTGGGGAGAAGACCCCTGCCTTCATCCCCTCCCCAGATGTGGCTTCCTCATAGGAGGGTGGGGCTGAGGGCACTGCTGGAGTCTCCTTCTTCTCGTGCACCTGCTGCTGCCCCTCGGTCCCAGGGGCCTTGTTAGCCACGGAGAGCTGTGGAGTAGAGGCAGAGGAAGAGACAGTCGCCAGGGAAAGGGAGCCTTCCAAATCCTCCTCACCAACTCCTCAATTCCTGGAACTTTCACGGTTCCTTCCTTATCTGCACTCGGAAGCCAGGAGTGCAGACAAGAATGTCTCTATTTTATAGACAAGAGAACTAAGCTCCAGAGGGGTCAGAGCTAGCTGGGGCACACGGTGGAGCTGGGGTAGGAACAGAGGAAAAAGAAAATTCTTAGGAGTGCCCACCACTGGTTGTCACTGTCACTGTCCCTGGGGTAAGGGCAGGGCCTCTATGGTTCCAGAAAAGGGCCTGGCACATAGTAGACTGTTACAAATAAAAGGTCCTGTCATTTAATCTTCCTGAGACTTGCTAGTTGTATTTTGACCCCTGCTTTAAAATGAGAATGAGGATCAGAGAGGAAGAGCGATTCATCCTAGGTCACAGAGCTGCATGTGGGCCCACTGAGAGGCAGGGCCTAGGCACTATCCACTGGGATTGGTCTCCTTCTGTTGGGCTGGAAGTGATGCAAGGAGGATGGAGATTAGGGAGAGAAGGGCAACAGAAAGGGAAGAGGAGAGGGAGAAAACAGAAAAGAGGAAGGGCCTTCAGGATGGAGGAAGGGCAAGAGGATCCTGGCTAAAGGTCTGTTCTGGCCTCATCCTGTAGGAATCTCAGCCTCTCCCCTAAACCAGAACAGACTCACAGAGTGACCCAGTGGAAGGGGCCTCAGAAGACATCCAGTTGAGTCTCTTCCTTCACTGAACAGATGAGGAAACTGAGGCTCAAAGGGAAATGTCCCCATGGCAGTTTGGAAACGCGAGTCCATTTACACTCAAATGTGTCCCCTGCCCCCCCACCCATGGACATGTTTAGCTTTGGTGGGAGGATTTGAGCTGGGAAGTGAATGAGGCAGCCAGAGAAGATTGGGGTGGAGGGGGTGGTGTGAAATTGAAACAGCAACAAAAGGTCCGGTTCTCAGAAAATGGGATTTAGGTGTGGTTCCCAGAAGATTGTGTTAGACCCAAAGGGCCACTGAGGAAGACTGCGGACTTCCTTCTTTGCAGGGGGTGTCTGGCTGAGGCAGCCTGGTGATGGGCACGCCAGAAGACTCCTGGTTCCATCCAGGCCCAAGGACCACGGAACTGGAGCGGTCTCCTCCGTCACCCAGCAAGCCTGTGAGTGAGCTGGGGACAAGGGGCAGAGGAGGCAGAGGTCCCCCTCACGCCAGGAAGGGAACAGCGCCACTAAAGGGCCTGGTGGAGGGGGGGTGGGGGTGGAAGGAGATTCAGCAGAAGGGGGGGGTTCTCCATGTTTACCAAACTGAACACTCCCCAGGCCTCCCACTCCCTCCCACTCCCCAGCCCCCATCATCACCCGGATCTGAAGGATCATGCCCACCAAAATCGAGTTCAGCCCCCACCCTGCCACTCCGCCCCTCAGAGCCTCCTGAACCCTAATGCCCAGCGCCCCCTACACACATACGGCACTGCCAAGTGAGGTGTGATCAATGGCAGGAGGTGGTATCATCCAATGACATCATTTGAGGCCCAAAGAGCTTGCACACAGGGAGAGGAGGGTCTGAGGGTCCAGGGAAGAATGCCATTGGCTCTGAAGCTCCTCTCAAAGAGAAGAAGGGGGAGTGTAGGGTAGGTCCTTGCCCTGTTTTCTCTGCCCAATCCTTAGCAACCCAAACAGAGGGCCAGAGGACCCTCCCCCTTAGCCCCAGGCCCTAGTGGTTGTACAATTCCACAGGCTATTGATGTTACATAAGCCTACTAGGCCAGCCAAGTCTCTGCCCCAGCCCCTCCCCTACAATTCAGGCCTAAAACTGGAGAAGAGATGCTTCATCCGGACCCATCCATGCCTGGCCAGAACCAAAACAATTACAGCAACCCGATGCAGGGTTGTCATAGCAAGCCCCAAGCACAGGGATGGAGCCAAGATGCCCAGATGTGGAATAATGGCAGGGAGCGGGGTGGGGGTTGTTTCTGTGGAGGGTGGAAAAGATAAGCATAAAGTGGTTGGGTCTGGGATTGGAGGGCTGGGCCAGAGGGGGTTGCCCTATAGGCACTGCCCCTCAGGACTCACCCTGGCACACACATACCCATGTACACACATACAGTCACACCGGACGCCCGGGCTGACTCCTCACAGGGGGCCTGGGTATCCGGGAGGAGCCTTGTGATGCCAAAGCAGGGGTGGGAGGGAGACAGGGGAGGAGAGGCGCGCCTGCGGGCTGGAAGAGGCCCGGTCCATTCCTTGACACTGGCCTTTCGGTCCTCTGACTTCAGCAAGGACCACTGAGGACCTTCAACCTAGGGCCAGGGGAGGACGCTTTCGTGGTCCAGAGGGTTTGCTGAGGATGACAGGGATCCGGGAGCCGGAGGATGGAGGATGGTGCAGGCGGGGGAGATGACGGTACCTTTCCCTGGGTCATGGTGCCGTCTCTCGGGGAAGGGGTCTCTGAGGCCGGGGCGGCCGCTTGGGTAGCCGCAGCCTGCCTGCGTCTCTTCCTTCCTCCGCGTGGGTTCTAGCAACATCCACTGCAGCCGGGCCGGGCCGGCGCGTACCATCGGCGCGGGGGGAGGAGGGGGCCGGGCCTGGGAAGATGCTGCGGAGGACGCTGCGGATTTGCGAGCCCTGGAGGCGGCGATCGTGCACCGCCCCCTCCCGCCGCTCTCCCCACTGCGCCCCCCACCGCCGCCCTTAGCCCTCCCCGGGGATAAGAGAGCGTCGCGCTGCGGAGCAACCTCAGTGGATGGATCCGCGGGGGCTGAGCGGGCGGGGGACGCGGGAACTCCGTGACACCGACCAGCTGACACTGCCCGCGTGAAACCAGAGCCAGGCGTCAGGGCCTCATCTCTCCACCGTATCTGCACCTCTCTGCAGCTCCAGCTGCGCCTCTGCCTTTTCCCCCTCCCTCTTTGGATGCGGCCCTGATTTCTGTCTCCATCTCCACCTCTCCTCTCATCATCTATTTCATCATCCGCGGTGGAGGGGAAGGTCTGGAAGTCTCGCTTGTGCTACCCGCTGCTAACAGGGCCCCTGGGCCCTGCGCTTCTGTGGGTCTGGGGCAAGCCAATAGCCACCTCTCCTTGCTCCTTTTTCTCGCCTGTGAAATGCACACAGTAGGTCCCTCCCTGCCTTGGTTCACAGAAACATGGGGTGGGAGGACACCTCTTCTGTTTCCTTCAACCCTGCTGGGACATTTCATGGGGTCTTTCTGGAGACACCGCTAGTTCTGTCTCAAAGCCTCTACAACCCCTGCCAGAGCTCTCTTCCTGCCTCCACGCTTAGCTTCCATCACCCCGTCTCCATCTTCCCCACGTTCCATTCCTCTCATGCCAGAGCTCATTCTCCTCGCTTCCCCAGACGTGTCCTTGTGACCCAGCCATCATTAGGCCCCGTTTTCTGTAGCTGCCGCAGTGTCACTGTGGGGTTTGCAATCTCAAGAGCTGGGATCAAGTCCCAGTTTAGTCACCCACTGGCCACGTGGCCTTGGCAAGGCCCTTAACCTCTCTGAGCTGCAGCATCACCTGAAAAAGGCTTAGAATAGCTCTGTCCATCCTAGACTGACTGTCAGACGCACAGGTTATGGCAGTAAAAGCACATAAAAGACCACGAAGTGCTGGAAGTATATGAGGTATTATTAACTGAGGAGTCTCCTACCAGAATGTCTTGGGTTGCCCCAGAGCGAGGACCCACAGATCTGCCTAAAAGAAGGATCTGAACCTGCTATGATGGGATGAGGAACTAAGACCTGGGACAGGTGGGGGTGGCCACTTACCTTCTGCTTCCCTCTCGCTGCCCAGGGACCCACCTAAAGACTTTGAGAAAGCAGGGCCCGGTGGGCAGACAAATTATAAGCCTTTTTTTTTTTTTTTGAGACAGAGTCTTGCTCTGTTGCTCAGGCTGGAGTGCAGCGGCACAATCTCGGCTCACTACCACCTCTGTCTTCTGGGTTCAAGTGATTCTCCTGCCTCAGCCTCCCGAGTAGCTGGGATTACAGGCATGCACCACCACGCCCGGCTAATTTTTGTATTTTTAGTAGAGACAGGGTTTTACCATGTGAAATGCACTGGACCAGGCTGGTCTCCAACTCCTGACCTCAAGTGATCCGCCCACCTCAGCCTCCCAAAGGGCTGGGATTACAGACATGAACTACTACGCCTGGCCTAATTATCAAAGTCTTTATCCCATCCTTTTTTGCCCTTTGTCCCCCACTCCATAACCACCAATTTTGTACAAACACACTTAAGCCTGGGCCTCCGTGTCCAGAGGCTCTCTCAACTCTGCAAACCTGAGCTCTTCTTCCAGCAAGCTATGCCCTGGTCCCCAGCACTGCTCCTGGAGCTCTGGCCAGCTGGTCCAGGTTCTGGCCTTCCCTCCCTCTCTGCATCTGCATCCTGGAAGTGTTTTCCTTCTCCTGCTTGACAGCTTGAATGCCACCTCCTCCAGGAAGCCTCCTTCCCCGCGTTGGAGTTAGATGCTCCTCTTCTTAGTTCCCTAGCCTGTCACGTGGCGCTGTGAAGTTTCTTTGACTGACTCCCTGTTACACTCTAAGCTCCTGTAGCAGTTTTGGTGTGAGTTGGACTGAATACAGTGCCAGGTGTGTGGAATGCACTCCATCAGTTGTAGTTATTAATATTTCCCAGACGTGGCACTACGCAGAGCCTGACTTTCATCAGTCTCAGCACTTTCATGTTTGTGAATCCCTCCTATTCCTTCTCTCGCATTCACTCTGCTCCAGCCACACAGGCCTCTCGGCCATTCCTTAGATGGGGCTAAGCATGCCCTTAGCTGAGGGCCTTTGCACTGGCTGTGTCTTGTTTGGAAATTCTGCAGATCACTGCATGGTTCCCTCCCTCACTAACTTCACTACTCTGCTCAGACATTGTCTCAGGGGTGGTCTTCCTGATCTTTAACAAAGTAGGAATGCCACCCACATACCCCCATCCAGTACATTGGACAGTCCCTTTTTTCTGATTAAGCTTTATGTTTTCTGTGTCAATTGTCACCTCTGACATGTTTTTTGTTTGTTGGTTTGTTTGTTTAGTTCTCTCTCTCTCTCCCATGAGAATGTCAGCTACAGAAGAGGAGGAGTTTTGGGGTGTTGTGTCATTGCCCTACACCTGTGGGTTAAAATAGTGCCTGACATGGATGTAGTGGGTTGATAAGTATTTGGTTGAGTAAAGTACAGCATTATACAAAATCCTTATATTCCTCAGACATGTTGACATTGTCAGTGCTATGATGTTTCTCAGATGTTGGACTCCATTACCTTGACATTGCTTATATGTCCCCCCAACTTTTTTTTTGGAGACAGGGTCTCTCTCTGTTGCCTAAGCTGGAGTGCAGTGGTATGATCATGATTTATTACAGTCTGAATTTCTGGGCTCAAGCGTCTTCCTGCCTCAGCCTCCCAAGTAACTAGGGTATATGTTCCCATGAGGTGGTCTTTGGACATTGGACATTACTAAAAAAAAAATTTTGTTTTGAGGTGTAGTTTTGCTCTTGTTGCCCAGGCTGGAGTGCAGTGGCACAATCTCAGCTCACTGCAACCTCCGCCTCCCAGGTTCAAGCGATTCTCCTGCCTCAGCTTCCTGAGTAGCTGGGACTACAGGCGCACGCCACCACTCCTGGCTACTTTTTGTATTTTTGGTAGAGACAGAGTTTCACCACGTTGGCCAGTCTGGTCTTGAACTCCTGAACTCAGGTGATCTGCCCGCCTCAGCCTCCCAAAGTGCTGGGATTATAAGCCTGAGCCACCGTGCCCAGCCAACATTACTCAAATATTAAACATTCGTGTAACATTCCTCTGGGATCTGGTAATGGTTAGGTGTGGTAGTTGAAAGCCCAGGCTACAGAGTCAAGCCGCTGTGCTCCATATCCCAGCTCCTCTATCTAAAAGCTGTATGAGAGATTGTGAGAGATGAGTTGTGAGAGTGGTGAGAATGACGAGAGGTAGGATTTTCAAGGCACTTAGAACAGAGCCAGGCATCTAACACATGCTCTATGCATGTTTGATAACCATAAGCACACAGTAAGCTCTTGGTGTTAGCTATTAGTGTTAGCCTTAAGTGTTCCACAAATATTGTTTAATGAAGTAATTTCCACCACATAAGGCAGCTCAGTTCCACAGTTACTCATTTGTTCATTCATGTGTCATGTCTGT